ATCAGAATACCTCTGACAAATGATCCCATTGTGCAGCTCATTATAACAATTGTTGCTCTGTGCCAGAAAGTGGTTAGATGAAATATGCTTAACTCACTGAAGGTTTATTTACATAAAGGCTATTAATTACTAGTCACTTACACAACGAGGAAATCTAAATGCAGACCAAATCTGCATGTCAAAGGGGAAAAAATGTCATACAAGCTTCATCATTATGATATTTCCCTTCCCACCCCTAAATTACAGGCCCAGGAGGATAAAGTAAATTCCATTAATCAAAATGAACTCATCCATTTCTCCCAAAGGTTTCTGGTGGAAGTTGACAAATGACAAATATCTAGGTAGAAAACAAAGAGAGAACATAAGTGGTATCATCTTCAGGGGCTGTACTTTTTAGAGAAGAGATTATGGAATCCATTTAAGAAGAGGATAGGAGGCCATCTGTCTGCAATGGTCTTTGTTCAGTTGGGCCCACAGGCAAGGAAATAGATTAGATGACCTCTTATCACTAAAAGCTTTCATTAGGTGTCTAATTATATACAGTGCTTCACTAAGCAATATATAATATAAAGTGAGTTGAACAGATATGCTTCCTGCTTTCTACAATTTTACCCTCTAAGAGAGACAACAATGGACTAGGACAAAGATCTTAGGAACATACATTGAATATCTAAATTAAATAAGTTATTACTTGCCATTAAGTATAAACAAAGGGGTTGCTGTATTTCACGGGGTAATGAGTGAAGAGGGAGAGTAGAGGAGTTCTCTTCACGAGATGAGATCAACAACAGTTCTAGAATTAATTATGGCCAAGGATGGGGCATTCTAGAAGGGACAGGATCCTAAAAGCTATCAGGTTTCTTTAAAAAGTAAGTTCCAGAACTTGACTGCTGGTGATTTACATATACTACAAATGTTTTTTTTTTAAGAAAACAACTTTAAATTCAACTGGTTTTTAAAATAACTTTCTGATTGATTAGAAACATGTGAGAAATATTTTTAACCCATCTGTGTCTTTAGAGGAAACATATACAAATGTTATGGCTAGTAAGCAATATGGTATTTTTGTAGATCTGTGGTGAAAGGAGGAGAGGCTGATCAACTGTAACTGCTGGTGACTTGGTACACATTTTGTTCAGTTTTCTGAGATATGTGAGCCCTAGGAGAAGTCATTATAACATTTTTTTTAAAATAGAAAACAATATCAACTACAGAAATTCAAAATCAATTTTGAGAAATTTATAGAGTCAATATTTTTGGTTATCAAAATGGATCAAAATAGTGTGCATAAAGTTTAAAGAAAGAAGGTAGACATCTGGAACATTGTACCAATCACAATGGCAAACTCAAAATAAAGACTCTAATTTTAAAGAACTCACATCAAAATTATGTCTTATCACACAAAGAAATGTTTTGATTTGCTAAAAGATTAGACATAAGGATAGCAAACCTTTTCTGTTTAAATGTTTGTAATGATTATTCACCTTTTAACAAGTAAGTTTATTTAAAATGCCATGTAAAATTAATTTAACAAGCTTTACATTTAATGAGAAAGCTAGAGCTTGGCCCACTAGAGAGGTTAAAGGTATTTGAGGTACTAGCTACATGTAAGTGAACATTTAACAGAGTAAGATGAATAGATAAAGGAGTTTCATTACATTTTCCTAAGAGGTACAGAGACTTGGTTTTGTTTTGAATTGTTGGGGGAGGAGAAGGAGTAGCAGGAGGAGTAAGATAAGAAAAAGAAAAAAAAATAAGCAAGAGAAAAACTGAGAAAATCTAGGATGTCCTAATAAAGCATCTTAGTAAAGTAAAATTGCTGAGTTCTACATCAATGTTTACATTTATGTCCACAAATGGCCAAATAGATCCTTGTAGTCAAAGAAAATATCACTTAAAATACCTGAGAAAAATTTGAAAGGTAAAATTTATCAGGTAACAACTGAATGGGATCACAAAAGGTGTCATTTTAAACTGGCAAGCTGTAAAAACTGTGATGATACCTATGATGATTTTAGGGAATTCAACGAAAATTTAAACTAACTACTCTTAAGACAGTAGGCACATCTACCTGGAAGCAAACACAGACACAAGAGAAATGTTAAGGCTATAAGATGGAATGCTACATTAAGTGTCAACTTTTTTCTTAATCGAAAAGAAAACTATTATTCTATATAAGCCATTAAGATGAAACTACTTAGCTCATAATAAAATATGAAAAGAGAATTCCAGTTCCTAAGGCTTAAAATGGTCTTATATTCACAATTGAAACATTTCAGTCATTTTAAGTTCCAAGAGCTCTTCTACGAATATCCAATGTGCATATTTGGAGAAGTTATGTGCAACATGGGCTAATTTGTAGTTCATACTTGGTACCTATTTATCAAGGAATTAACTTACCTTGCAATGCACACATTACTCTTCTGGCTTTACATTAAGCATTATTACACAGACGGTGAATGATAATTTAGCAATGCTACAAGTAAATTTTTCCCAGTTCTAATCAATAATAAATTATAACTCTATAAGGTAGAGGACATCAAACAAGCAAACAAAGCTAGTGGGAGATACAATAAGCCTTAAAACTTAGATTAGTAATCAAGAAAAAGGCTACCTGGTGACATATCACAGTAGAACAACTTTCTCATAAAATAGTATAAATAAGAAAAGGTAAAACTATTGTCAAGATGTTTTATGCCCCACAAAAGATCAGTATTCTAAAAAAAAAACACATAGAAAGGAGTTATTAGTAATAAGGATACCAAATAGAGCTGGTAGCATGGGCAATGGATGAAGAGAGGTACATTTTCACATAATGAAATAAGGAACATCACATGATAGAGTAGGCAGAGCTGACCCAGAAGTGGGGTTGTTTTGGGAAGCAATGGGAAGAAAACTACACAGTGAAAGTTGTGAGGCTTTTACAGTTTGATCCCTTATATGAGATGCCACTGAGGGGATTCCTCTTCAAGTACTGCTTGGACTTGATGGTCCGGGGTCCCCTCCAATGCTATGATTCCATGTGAATCTTTCATTTCAGCCTTAAAAAAATTCTTAAAATTTGGAAAAGGCCTTTACTAAAGGCTAGTAGCTATTGTTTATAACAATAAGTAACAAATGGTACATGGTTAAGGTATCTAAGTATGTGAATTCTATATATTTTCGGTTAGCTGTGGGGTTAAATTTAAGAAATGGTTACAGTAATTAATGATTTTTTTTGCTCTTCTTAACAATTAGCACTAGCTGCTAAAAGAGATCAATGTAACTGGGAAATAGAGGGCAATAAACTAATCACCAAAGCCATTTGCTTTTTACTACCATGATTATTTAAACTGGAACTAAGGTTGTAAGCTACCAATAACAACTGTTATCAGAAGCCCTTTATCAATCAGCCCTTATATAGATGTATCTATTGTCTCAGTTTCATACATACATACATGAATATATATATACATATAACATATATATTATATATTTAAATGACTTATTTAATGATAATATTTTAAAATTATCTCAAGATCGAAAAAATTTCCTGACAACCTCCATTTTTTATTGTTTGTAACTTGGTTTATTAAACATATTCTTGCATAAAAATTGACATGGAAAAAAAGTCCACTTTAATTCAAACTGGGCTTTTTTAAAGACAACAACTTTGAATCAAAATGATTTTCAAAATAACCAGCTACTTGATTAGATTCAAATGAACAATAACTCTATCTCCTCTGTGTCTAGAGAAGCATCATATATTAAAGGAAAGAATCTAGGATTTCCTCAGGTTAGAGAACTCCCTCCACGAACCAGATCACAAACATAAATATTCTAATTATAAGGTTCTAGGAAGTTGCCTTGGAGCACTTAGATTTAAGTGACTTACTTGGGCTGAGTCACACAACTAATAAGTGTCAGAAGTAAGATCTGAACCTGGGTCTTCTTGACTTCAACTTGAAGATGCCATTTATGAACTAGCCATGCAACACAGAGGTCTTATCCCTAGCCAAACAGAATAGTTCTCAGAAAATGTATTTAATATGCTCTCTTTAATGCAGAGAAAAGAGGGTTGGTAATAATGTTGATAAGAATATCAAAAAGTAAAGTGCTTATATTTTTAAATGATACCAACTATGCCAGGGTTAAATTAGACTAGCATTTATCAAACTATTACTCCAGGTACTTAGAAATGGTATCTGAGTGACCCAAAAGAGTTAATGAGGGGGGGAGCTAGGTGGTGCAGTGGATAGAGCACCAGCCCTGCAGTCAGGAAGATCTGAGTTCAAATCCAGCCTCAGACATATAACACTTACTAGTTGTGTGACTCTGGGCAAATCACTTAACCCCAACAGCCTCACAAGAAAAAAAAAAGAGTTAATGAAAAGGCAACTAAGCTATACTCCAAAAGAAGTTAACCAGCTTGGTTACATTTGGGTCATTATCTGAAAATACACAGCACCTATATCTTCCAATTCATGATTAAGAAGAGAAATAAAGAATATCATCTTCTAAATCTGCATCAATAAATATTTTCAGGCTTAATATTTCTTCAAAGAAGAAGAAAACATTATATCCTATATTATAGAACCAAAATATATTGCAAGACTTCATTTCACCCCACATACTCCCAAGTTTGTTTTCATCATAAAACACTGAAAATTTGATTAGGGTATTATTCTTGCTTCCTCCCCCCCCCAGGGTGAAGAGACAACCATATCTGTTCAAAAACTTCCTGATTCACAAAGAATATCCATAGTGTAAATTAGGGATGCATTATCTCAGAAAAGAAAAGTATCAAATATAAACACTTAGGAACTTTTATGTCTGAGACCTGAGGAGACACTCAGATGATTTACTTCTTTCCAATGAGCTCTCTAACTTTGATAGAAAGACTCTAGAGAATGGAACAGGTCTTTTTCAGGTCATGTAGAATATTGAAAAATAACACTATTGGCACTCAATATATTGGCATAAATAATAAAAATACAGACCAATCATGGGTTCTACCTTACCTGAGTAATGGATGGAATATGACAGTTATATTTCGGGCTCCAGGTTTGCAGACAAATTTTGTTCCTCCACCTTCAATTAAGTTGTCATCAGGTCCTCCTTTAAAAAAGATTTAAAAAAAAATATTTACCTAACTGCAACTTTTAAAACAAGGAATAAAACAAGATCATAAAGCTTGGGGCATACTACAAGTAGCACTCTCTTTGAAAAATGGATAATTAATAAAATGATATTTATTAAATAATTCCATATCATCTCTTATCTGTTATTCCTCATAGCTACCATGTATGGTAAGTTGCTATAACTATACTTACTATCCTGGTGAAAAGTTTTAGCAACAGGTAGGTTAAGTATTCTGCCCAAACTACAAAGCAAAGCAACTTTCAGAGCTGAGCTTCGAGTTATGGTTGCCAGGACATCAGTGTATTACTTAGCCAATAACCTACATGTAACTTTTAGACAAACAGTATTATGGGATCATAGATGTAGAGCTGATATGGACCTTGGAGGCCATCGGGTCCAAACTTCTTATTTTACATATGAGAAAATTTGAGGCACAAGGAGGTTAAGTAATTTCACCAGGGTCACCTAGCTAGTAAGTATCTGAGGTTTATTTGAACCAAGGGCTTCCTTCCTCTAAGTCCAGTACCCGATCCACTATACCACTCAAAGGGAGAAAAGGCATTATATAACTTTCTAAGGGAACAGTCATAACAGAGCTAGACAAGGAACTAGGAATTAATAGGACATAAATCCTGGTTCTGGCTTTATGACTAACTAGAAAAGTGAATCAGACACATAACTTGGACGAGTCACTAAATTTCTTTGAGCCTCATTTACATCCTGTAAAATGAAGAGGGTGAGCGTGATGGTCTCTAAAATCAATTTCAACTCTCAGATACAATTCCTACTAACACACTGCTACTAATTCAAGAATTCGACCCTTCTTTTTAAAATGAGGGTATCAGGGGAATTTAGCATCACATCATTTTAAATTCCGAAACACAAACAAACAGCCACCATTTGTAAATGTTATTCTAACCATTTTTTTCAATAGCACCAAACACAAATTTTTAAAGATATACTTTTAAAAAAATAACATACATATAACTACTTAACTTACCAACTATTTGAATACCATAGGAGACACACTGGAAACTGACCTATATTTATATACAATTTCAGACTCCAAATTCAACCCAACAATATGATTTATCAGCAAGTTAAGTGTCTCCATAGACATTGGCTAAATTGTGCTCCATGCAGTTCTAAGTATTGTGAATGGTATAAACATGGGACTCTCACACAGGAGAGCAGCCTTATGCTACAAGTATTTCCCCCTACAAAATTAAGTATAAATCAAAAATGGTTATTACACTTGACAATTTTCTAGTATTAAAACTAGTTTTCCTTGCCAATTTTCCAAAACGGGTATATTTCAAATCTCAGACCATAATTTATAGGCTTTAGAAATGTATTTTAAACCCAAATTCTTCTGTGGATAAATTATTTTGGGAAATATGGATGTGGACAGATAATTACCATAATATTTCTATCAACTAATTATAGTATTGGTTTTTTGTTTGTTTGTTTTGGCTAAGAGGCTGGTATACAGAATATGATGGACAGTCCTAGATGGCAAGCTGAGAAGCTTTTCTCTCCCAGTTGAAAATACATATTTTGAGCCATTAAATACAAACTAAAGGTAGGATATGTCCGCATGGTAAGTGATGTCACTAAGTCAAAAGTCCCTAGATTGGCAAGGAAGCTACTTTTCTGATATAAAAACAACAATAAAACCCACTAAAGAACACATGGAACAAATGCAAAGAGAAAAAAAATCTAGCGTGTGATGGTACCTTTTTTTTTAAACAAACATGTCTACTTTCCTAGTCAATCAATCATCTTCCCCTTCCTTTCTATCCCCATTCTTCATTGCCAATCCTAAGGCACACAACCATATTTTTTGTCACATCAGACTCAATAACCCATACAACTTTGAAAGAATATAAGAAGCTTATTTTGAGTCACTAAATAGTAATATATAAAAGAAATCTTTTCCCAAAACAAGCTTAAGTAATTCTTTATTAACCCAACACAAGCCCACCAAACTAACACAGCAGTTTGGTCAATATGAAAACTTTCTTTAGGACATAGTTGTTGCTCAATAAATGAATCCAGCCACACTTCAGAAATTAGCAAATTAGTCTAATTAGCTCCCAAACATACCCCATAAATTCTCCTTTGGGGTCTTTTCTCAAACTACACTGCTTCTACCCTCCCTCCATTCACTCCCTATGTGACAAACCCTCTCAGACTAACTCTCTGGCCATCTAAATCCTACTCTTCCTTCAAGAAGTACGTGTTTAGCCTTCTTAACGCCCCGTCTATGAATGCCTGCTCTTTTTCCTAAACTCCTGTTTTATACATCGTTTCGTTTTACTTAACATAAAGCAAATACTACTTTGTCTTCCAGTTTTCAAGGGTGTGAAAAGTGAGTAGGGGTGATGATTAATGGGAAGCAACCAGTGTAGACTACTTTTACAAGGAACATGGCAGCTAAATAGAGAAGAAAATGAATATGATAACTTGACGGTAGTGTCAGGGAAAGAAAGTCTTTTCAGGATATGAAGATTTGAGCAGGTTTGTAGACTAAGGACAAGGATCCAACAGAGAGGAAGAGATAGAAGAAACACGCAGCTGAAGAGAGAAGGGCAAGGTTATAGAGGAGACTGGAGGTGATGGACCTTACGATGTCAATAGAGGTGTTGGATTTGACAAGGAGGAAGGCCTTTTGCTCTCATACTGGAAGAAAAGAGCGGAAGACATTAATAGGAGTAAGGAGTAGAGAGTCCACATCAGACAGTTTCACTATTCTCCACAAAAAGGTGAGGTCAGTTCCTGAGAAAAGGGAAAGGGGCAGAGTTGGGGGTTTCAGAAAGTTGGAACAGCTACTGTAGATGGTATAATCAAGAGTCCATAAGAGGTGACTAAAAGTATTGCCAATAAGTTGTCACAGGACAGGTGAGGTTAGAAAGCTTAAGTTAATAGTGGATCTAATGCCAAAGGTCAAAATTTTAAGATTTCCTCCAGAAGCATTTGACAGCTCAAAAGTAGGAACAATGGATTGTGGTAAGGGATGACTGAAGGGAGGAAATGAGGGCATATTGACAAGTAGCTGAAGGATCAGGACTCACAAAACCAGAACAATGAAAGCATCATGAGAGATGAAAACAAATATGGAAGGAGTAATGGGGTGAGGACTCGTGGAGAAGAAGAGAATCTTAGAGTCCAGGATTTTGAAAAGACAATTTTCAGTGATGGCCAGTGCTAAGTTATGACCTGGGTAAGTGAATTAGAGATTGCAAAAGTGGATGGAGGTCTTGAGAGTGGAAGGGTTCAAAAAACTGAAGATAGGGTGACAGAAGAGTTACCAATGTGTATACTAGGTCTCTGAGGATGATATAAGCAGGATGGCTGGCATGAAAGACTGTGACCCATGTGCCAGAATCATGGAGAAATACAGAATAAAAGGTCAATAGGCAACAACAATACAGATCTGGGAAGAGTGGCATAATTCAATGGCACAAATTCAATATCAAGCCTGAAAAATAAGACTTGCCTCTCTTCTTGAGCCTTTCAGTAATCCAGTAACCTGGACGTATCTGTCATGGACATTCTCAAGTAATATGCTATTCAGTCTCCAAAAGGGCAAAGAGAAAAACTAGATTCTCTCTGTCCCTCATTTATTATGTTTACAGCTTCATCTTCTCTGTCAGAATGCCTAGATGATGGGTAACTCTGGTGACAGACACCAAAGAAAAATTTGAATGATGATAGATAGTTGAAATGAAAGGAAAATTGACAATAGTGTTATGTGTGAAATACATATAATAGCAGAAAGATGGGGGGAAACTGCATCCAATTATATTTTCTGTTTCAAAAAATGAGAAGAACATGACAGGATGACTCAAGGGACATAGAACTGAAGCAAAGGCATATTGGATACTTCTAAGGTTACTATGAGCTACTCAGGAAATGCATACTATGTAAAGAAAAGGTCCTTCAGCTCAAAATATTATGAAGTTAGTTCTTTTTATTACTCTTTATTTTCACATATTTTAAGGGTAAACAGCAATAAGTTATTTAGAAGAATCCAAAGCTTTGACTTCCATAAAGTTAAAATCAATCATTATTCAAAAGACACAATGTCAGCAATTACTAAGCACAGGTATGCTACAGCTAGTTTTGATCCATTTATTAGAGCCCATTGTTAAATTTTCAACGTGAGCATATATGCCTCAGAAATTGGCAAATGCTCCAAATCTGGGCTTGATGTATTGTTTTGTTGATTTTCTAGACTTATGAAAATGATGGAGAACACGTCAATAATTCAGATAAAATTCAAAATTGTGTTGTGTGTACATTTTTTCCCAGAGAGCTGGTTGCTAAACATTTAGAAACACACTGCTGCTATTAAGTCTGTCCCTTGCCTTGATCAATATGTATCTCATAAACAAGTAGTATGAGCAGTTTGTTGGGGTGGTAGCAGATCTGACTGATTTCATCAGAATACAGAGCAGCAATTTGTCCGCAGTTCAGTCTTGAAGAGTCGTATAGAACACTAAGAAATTAACTGTCTTGCTCGTGGTTATAAGTACACTATGTGATAGAACTGAACACAGGTCTTCTTGATGCCAGGCAGGATTTCTGTCCACTACTCCACACTTCCTATCTGGGACAAAATGTGTACACAGAGAACCCATTTCTGTAGTAAGTCTTTTTAAGTCATTAAGAAGTAGAAGCCAATTAACCACAAGAATCAGATAGTTTAAGTTCGTTTCTGAGATAAACACTGCTAACATATGTAAAGAGAAAAAAGAGAAAAATTTTTAGTGAGATGGATGTACAAAATATTGATTAGTTACTATTAGGAGCACATGGGTCCATTAGTAATTATATAGATTGTCCTCAAATTTGTTAGTCTGAAAAATGTTTAAGATATATTACAGTAATATTTGACATTTATTTTCATTTCCTGTTGTCCAACATTATTTGTATGTGTTTTAAACAAATGTGCAAATCATGAACAAAAATAT